CCTGAGATGAGCTGTCTTGAGAATGTTTCTCACAGTGTGTGAAGAGACAGGGAATGTGATGGTGGAATTGATGTAATAGGTGACCTGGACAGCATTATCAGCCTTTCCTGTAGTGATATGTTGGATAATAGCCCTCCTATCAGTAGAGGTGAGCTTGGATGGATGCCCTTCACAGAAGTTTTCCTTGTCTGTGTGACTTTCTTTGATAAACTTGGCCACAGTTTGACTTGGATACTCCAGTTCTAGAGGAAATTTGACAAGCAGAGAGGCCAGAATAGGAAAGAGAGAGGATATTATCCCTTTGAGCAGGGGGGGTGGCTTTCATGGTGAATATAACCATGACATATGGAAATTTTTGGTTTGTATAGTTAGATATGGTTTTAAAATGACATAATGACACCACTTTATAATTTATTTAATGGTGGCATGATTGTTATGGTGTCATAAATGATGATTTATATAGTTTTAATATGTGCTCAAAAAACTGTCCACATGAGTCATGATTTTGTAAGCCTTGTATCTCCACCATATCTCCACCCGATTCCCACGGTGTAGGGCTCAAATGAAAGCCCTGAAGCCATACTACAATGTGGTATAAGCATGTCCTTGAGGCATTTGTGAGTTCTCACACAATATCATAGATAGTGAAAAATGTCAAAACATGCGGACAGTTTTTTGAGCCACTGTAAATGGAGTTGGGCGCTGATATAGGGTTTGGATTCCGGAAGGAAGATAAAGATAGATCAGATCATTTGAGATCCAGATCTCAGATCCGGATATCCAGAGAAGCAGATTTAGAGTTGAGAGTCCGGAATGGCATATGACAACCTTAGCTTACTCTGAACACTTGGCTTATCACCTTGTGTAGAATCTCAACAGAGGTCCTGACTCTTATCGAGTCATCTGTTGTTAGAACCACCCTAGTTTGTAACAGCTGCAAGACTTAAAACAAGTGAGTGGAATGTATGTCTTAACGATATCTTGCAGAACATATTGTATTTTATGGTGCAGAATAAAATGTATAATTCATTCATGTTCTGAGGAGGAGTATCATGCAATCATGTTTCACTTTTTTTCTCTGAACATAATAATTTTTTTACAAGTGTTGTCCAGGAGGAATATACTGCAAACATTATTTATTTTTTCTTACAAAACATGGAAAATGTTTCACAAATTTTCTCTTACCAAATATGAAAAGGAACTTTTGAGAGTTTCTTTACTTTTCCTCAACAAAACATTCAAAAAATATTTTGTATTTTTTGTTATCTTTTTTCTTAATGTTCTTGGATCAAACATGTAGTGAACTGGACAAAGTAATTGAGACTTTTGATGCACAGAACATTTGAAAAACACAGAAAAAAAAATAACATTGTTGTAAGCTGTTATTTAAAAGATAATAAATGAAAAATTTAGCATTTTCCTTGAGAAAAAATGACTAATTTTTGAATCAGGTTCTATGTACAGAAAATCTTTGATACATCAATTTTATTTTTCAATGTTTTCACAAGTAAAATACAAGGAATTTTCTATCTTCTAATTCAATGTTTTTTGGATGTTCTTTGGAGGAAAATGAGTAAATGCCTGCAGTGCTAAGGGCTTCAGCCTCAGCTTGTGCACTGTGCCCCTTATTTCAGAAGGACAAGACTAACACATCTGGAGGGTTGGACGAGTAGCATAGCAGATCTGGATGACTTCCAGATGTAGGATAAGTATTGTAAGACTAATCTGGATGAGTCCAGACTAGAAAATATCAGTAATGGACTGTTGTAGACAGAGGCAGATATGGATAGACTACAGGAATCAATCCTAAGTCTCAGAGGGTGATGAGAGTAGAGGTACTCAAGTCCAGAGGACAGGAATGAGCAGAACTAAGATGATATTCAAACTAAGGTGCTACAGAGATTTACAGGAGGTTATATACTGTAGGTATCTAATGGAATGATCAATCAGCAGAGTCCGAGGCTATGTACGAAGCATATGGATAGTCTATTGGTAAGTAGAAATGGATCACAAATCATGAAACAGAAATGAAACATAGGTAACAGATTAGGGAGCAGGACAGATATACAGATACCAAAATACCGGAGTTAGGGGGTTACCAAAAGGAGACGAGCACTAGTTGTGGATTCAGATGAGTTGTGGACCAGACCAGATGAGTGGACAGATGAGATGAGGGGATGTTGGATGGAGATAAGATGTAGATAGGATCAGAGATAAGATGTGGATTGGATCTGAGATGAGATATGGATTGGATCTGAGATCCAGATATGCGGATATGACAACACCAAAGAGTGGGCACCTACAGGAGCATGGCTTATTTGTCAAAATTGCAGAAGCATTAGCTGATAAAGTTGGACAAACCCATAGTGACAATCCAAACATGAAGCATGGTGCATGCTATGACTCAGAGGTGATGAATTTTTTCATTGCTATGCATGGATATGGGAGCCAAAGTGCAGCACAATATGGCCTTCTCAGCCAGGTTATCAGGGGAGTCTGTCAGCATTGTTTATGGTGAGTATCCTTCACCAAGTATCACAAGTTGATGATTTACATACAATCACTTGAAAGTGCTATTGCAGCTCAAACCAGCTGCCACATGGACAGCCCATACCTTTCACCTCATAATATTGCCTGTCTTGTTGATGACATCACCTACCATGGCCACCAAGGTGTTCTGATTGTACTTGCTATGGACTGCACTGTGGTTCATGATCATGGCCAAAAGTTTCTTTCTAGTCACTGATGTACATAAGTCATTAGATCAAGGGCTGACTTGAACACTGCACAATGTTCAGGTCCCATATTTTGGGAGGTATGAAACCACTGTCCAAAGCTGATGTGAAAACACATGAAGATATTGAATAGATCATCAAGGAAGTTGTCAATGAAAGCTCATTAGCATCTCAAGTGTGTGTCCTGATTGGAAAGGTGAGTTTTTTTAATAAGACAAATGCTTGGTTACAGTACAAACACACTTGTTAGACACCACTCCCTGGTTCTTGCCCCATACCACTGCTAGTTGCTCCTAGCCAAGGCAAGGAGACTGCTGAAGACAATGCCTGCACATTGCTTGACTGCCTCTCTCTATGTTGAAGTGCAGGACTGGCTGTCATTTCATGTGGATCAGATGGTGCCTCAAGTGAAGTTAGTGCCCATGATGTCATCCATAACTCAGCATCTGAACACTTGACATTTTCAATTGAAAAGTTTGGGTTTACATTTAGTGTTCTGATATATTCAACTGGTCCCCTGGTGACTGTTCCTGACCCAAGCCATGTTCAAAAGGTGTTGTGAAACAATGAACAAAGTGGAACACCTTCTCTGTGTTGGTGACCATTGTCTCACTCATCAAACACTTGTTGCACTACACAAGGAGCCCAACAGTGGCATGGTAAAGAAGGATGTTGAGAACACAGATAAACAGGATGATGGAGCAGCAATTCAATGGTTCCATTCAAATGCACTACAAGCATGTTTGATAGATGTTGGCCAGTCGATACAGAAGCCCTATCATCTTGCATTTGCAGTGCATTTCATCTGTGGTAAGATTCTGCTTCTCTTCATGTGCTACCTCCAAAGTTGACATGTAGATAGGCAAACTGTTTTATGCATACTTCAAGCATGATCTTTCACATGCTGAACAAGTACATGCTGCAATGCAAGCAAATTTTTTCCTTCAACTTTGGCACAGTCACATCACTGACAAAAACAGACATCCCATCCATGGCCACTTCTTCCTACACCACTGCAGCTGTATCTCTTCCCAAAATTTCAAGTCACTCAACTCATGTTGTGATGCACTTATAAAACTCACACTTGTTTACCAGGAGTACTACCCCACTGTCCCTTTCCTACCTTGGCAGCATGGTTCATTACCATTGGAGAAAATTTTTGGTATCACATGTGAATTTCTCACCAACTTCAGCTATGTTGAACTCCTTGGTATATTGCATCATATTGAGCAGCAACAAGAGGTTCTCCTTCAATTGGCACTGTCATATCCCATATGCCAGACATAGATCCCATCATACTCCTACACTTTCTGGACCTATTTCTGGACCCCACCTCTGACTCATTCCCAGATCCCCTTCCACTGTGTGCTCCACACCTCAGCAGGATTAGCTCTGCTATGGAATTACCCCTGAGCTCTGGACCTCTGGATCTTTACTACTAGCCTGATCTGTACACCCCTATCCTGTCCGCCCTATGCACATTCTGTCCAGCAAGACATCTGGACTTTACCTTCTCTCAGATTCTGGACTACATCCACCACCTCACATATCTCAGTCCTGTTTCTGCCTTGCCTTCTGGATCCCCAGATCTCCAGACCTCCGGATATTAACTGTTGCTATCTCCAGACCTATTCCCACCCTCCATCTGAGATCCTGCGCCTATCCCCACTTAGGCATCTCTGCCTTTCCAGTTCTTGGTTATCTCTGTTTCCATCTTGCTGATTGATCCTTGTACAAGTCTTCACCTCTGAGTTCATTTACTTATGTTCCATCTTACTTACCAATGTGTTTCCACATGCTCATACATAGCCTTACTCTGTTGCTTACTGATCCTCTCAGATATCCTCTAGTATATAACCCCTGTACAACTCCTGTAGAGTCCTCAGTCTGAATATCATCTTAGATCCTGTTCTACTTGCCCAATCTTCTTTCGGACTTCAGTCCATCTGAGTTTGTCCCTATCTATTAAGGTCATACTCAAGGGATAACTGGATCCGAAGGGCTTCAGCCTCAGCTCATGTGCTGTGCCCCTTACCTGAGTATTGCCCCTTATTTCAGGAAGGCAAGACTAATGTGTCCAGAAGGTCAGACAAGTAGCATAGCGGATCCGGATGACTTCCGGATGAGGGATAAGTATTGTAGGGCTAATCTGGACAAGTCCAGACTAGAAACTAATGGTAATGGACTGTTGGAGACAGAGGCGGATACAGATAGACTATAGGAATCAATCCTAAGTCTCAGAGGGTGATGAGAGTAGAGATACTCAAGTCCAGAGGACAGGAATGAGTAGAACTAAGATGATATTCAAACTGAGGTGCTACAGAGATTTACAGGAGCTTATATACTATAGGTATCTAACAGAATGATCAATCAGCAGAGTCCGAGGCTATGTATGAAGCATATGGATAGTCTATTGGTAAGTAGAAATGGATCACAAATCATGAAACAGAAATGAAACATAGGTAACAGATTAGGGAGCAGGACAGATATACAGATACCAAAATACCGGAGTTAGGGGGTTACCAAAAGGAGACGAGTGCCAGTTGTGGATTCAGATGAGTTGTGGATTTGGATGAGTTGTGGACCAGACTGGATGAGTGGACAGATTGAATGACGAGATGTTGGAGGGAGATAAGATGTGGATCTGAGATCTGGATATGCGGATATGACACTGTCATATGCCATTCTGGACTCTCAACTCTAAATCTGCTTCTCTGGATATCCGGATCTGAGATCTGGATCTCAAATGATCTGATCTATTGTTATCTCCCTTCCAGAATCCAAACCTTATATCAGCACCCAACCCCATTTAGACTTCCCCTGTCTCCAGACTCTGGTTAACTATGTTTCCCTTCTGATTATTGATCCATTACATACATTTCATTTCCAGTGTTCATTATTTGTGATCCATCCTACTTACTAATAGACTTTGCATATGCTTTGTACATAGCCTTTATGTTTGCTGACTGATTTCTATATGATACCTACAGTATATAAACCTCCTGTAACTCTCAGAAATACTCCAGTTCAAATATCATCTTAGTTCCCGCTCATTCCTGTGTCCTCCAGACTTGAGATAAGTCTCTTGTCATATTCCAAGTCTTAGGATTGCATCCTAGACTGCATTTCTGACTCTACCTTAAGGTAGTCTATCCTCTGTTAGTTTCTAGTCCAGACTTCATCTGGATTAGTCTTATCTGCTTGCCCAAGTAACATCCGGATGTCCGTTGTCCACCCTAGTCAAATCCCAGAAACTCCGGACGACTGTTCTAGCCCCTGGAAATTAAGGGCACATACTCAGGAAAGGGGCACAGCATACAAGCTGAGGCCAAGCCCTTGTGATCTGGCCCCCTTGGGCGTGTGACCTTAACAGTCCCTTTCCATAAGGCCTAGGGATGGATTCCCTAGGCCAGAATTCCAGACCTTTGGATTTGTCCCCTATGTCTCTGTCCCAAGTCTAGGGATTGCTTCCCTAGGCTAGAGTTTTGCCTTTCTGGCACTTACCCTCTCTCTGGACTTTGGTCCACTTCCTGTCTCTCTGACTCTACCTAAGGGTAGTCTACCTCTGTTTGCTTCTACATTGGATGAAGCCCGATGTAGCCCCTATTCCTTCCAGACCTCTGGATGTCCTGTCCTTTGGACATTCCGCCCTCCTAACCCTCGGACATCCTGTCCCCCATACCTTCATGTCCTGTCCTGTGTACCTCTGGACATCTTGTCCTCAGGACCTTCAGTCTTCCTGTCCTCCATACTCTGGACCTCCTATCCTTCCATCTGGTTTCCTGTAGAAGTATTACCTTGCAGTGGAAACTCTCCTGAGCACTTCCTGCATTTCTCCGGAACTCTCCCATGCTCCTCCAGATGTTTCCTGTGCTCCTCTGGAAGTCCTCTAGCACTCCACCAGAGTAGCCAGCCTCCAGAAGTCCTCCAGACTTCATTGGACCATCATTAGACTTCCTCTGAAATGAAGGGCACATACTCGGGTAAGGAGCACAGTGTATGAGCTGAGGCCAAGCCTCTCTGAGTCAGTCTCTCTCTCCCTTGAGCATGGTTCTTAACAGGCACAGTCCAGAGTCCACAAACACAAGGAGAAATCATCTGGTTATGTCTATGACACTACACTGGAGAAGCTAAGCACTGAAGACCTCAAGAAGTTAACTGATATCCCATCTCACTTGCAAGTGGAGGTCATCACAAATGTTGCTTAGGAGAATGTAGTAGCTGTGTTTGATGATGTGAGTATGGTGTCCATCAACATGTGTACCATGGCTGATAACCTGCCTGACAGGTACTTGGTGTCTCAAGCATACCTCTACTACCATTGGTTTTCACAGCCAGCAAAACTGAGGCTGCATGACTCACCCAGGCTGGGAAACGGAAAGCCAGGTGTGAGGATCAAAGTGACAGTAAGGATGGTGAGAATGATGATGATGACTTGGAGAATACAACATCACTCCACCTCACTGCTGCTCAGGCTGAGAGTGGTGCCTGTGACTTACAGTGGCTCAAAAAAGTGTCTCAATTTGTGACTTTTCATGTAATTGCTGTATTATGAGCTAGGGCGTGAGAATATGACTAAGCCATAGGGAGGTGTGGGAAAGCTCTGCTTCTAAGCTTCATGTTTGATCCCTATAGTGTGGGAAGATTATGTCATCAAGTGAAGATATGGTTAATTTAATTTGGTGACTCTGTTAAGAACCATGCTCAAAGGAGAGAGAGACTGACTCAGAGGGGCTTGGCCTCAGCTCATACGCTGTGCCCCTTACCCAAGTATGTGCCCTTCATTTCAGAGGAAGTCCGATGATGGTCCAATGAAGTCCAGAGGACTTCTGGAGGCTGGCTACTCTGGTGGAGAGTGCGGGAGGACTTCTGGAGGAGCGTGGGAAACATCCGGAGGAGTGCGGGAGAGTTCTGGAGGGATGCAGGAAATGCTCAGGAGAGTTCCTGCTGCAAGGTAATACTTCTACAGGAAAACAGGATGGACAGATAGGAGGTCCAGAGGACAGGATGTCTGGAGGTCCGGAGTACAGAGGACAGGAGGTCCAGAGGTATGGAGGACAGAACATCCGAAGGACAGGATGCCCAGAGGTATGAGGGACAGGATGTCCAGAGGTACAGAGGACAGGAGGTCCGGAGGTCCAGAAGGAATAGGGGCTACATTGGACTTCGTCTGATGTAGAAGCAAACAGAGGTAGACTACCCTAAGGTAGAGTCAGAGGGACAGGAAGTGGACCTAAGTCTGGAAAGAGGGTAAGTGCCGGAAAGGCAAGACTCCAGCCTAGGGAAGCAATCCCTAGACTTGGGACAGAGACATAGGGGACAAATCCAAAGGTCCAGAATTCTGGCCTAGGGAATCCATCCCTAGGCCTTATGGAAAAGGACAAACTCAGATGGACTGAAGTCCAGAAGAAGACTGGGCAAGTCTAAGGTGATAGAGCAGGAACTAAGATGATATTCGAACTGAGGACTCTACTGTAGTTGTACAGGGGTTATATACTAGAGGCTATCTGAGAGGATCAGTAAGCAAAGGAGTATGGCTATGTACGAGCATGCGGAAACACATTGGTAAGTAAGACAGAACATAAGTAAATGAACTCAGAGATGAAACTAGTACAAGGATCAATCAGCAAGACGGAAACAGAGATAACTGAGAACCAGAAACACGGAGATGCCTAAATGGGGATAGGTGCAGGATCTTGGACAGAGGGTGGGAATAGGTCCAGAGATCTGGGGATCCAGAAGGCAGGACGGAAACAGGACTGAGGTATGTGAGGTGGTAGATGTAGTCCAGAATCCAAGAGGAGGTAAAGTCTGGATGTCTTGCTGGACGGAATGTGCGTATGGTGGACAGGATAGGGGATCCAGGAATGAGTTGGATATGGGGTCCAGAAACAGGTCTGGAAAGCGTGGGAATATGATGGGATCTATGTCTGGCATATGGGATATGACAGACTCATTGAGACACTTTTTGACTTTCAGTTTGGCCAATACAATCTCTATAATTCTAGTACTTGGTGCTTCCTCCTGTTGCTCTAATTACTTCCACCACTCTTCTATGCATACTATCTATCAATTTGAGGCATTCCTCATCAACAATCTTGCCCCACTCTGCTGCAACCCTCTCCCATAGCTGAAATAACCCCTATTGAGGTTCTTGATAGACTGCAAGTGATATCTTGAGCAATTACCAGGGCTGTTCAATAGGGTTGAGGTCTGAGGACTGGACTTACCATTATAGCACACTGATGCCATAATTTTCAAACCATTTTATGGTCAACTTGAAGTAT